GTTGGCTTGAATTAAAATATTTCCCTCTGCTGTTACTGCACCTTACTGCAACTTCTGCAAGCGGGACATTTCACGTTTTGTAGAGGCATAGCGTGATGGACACGGTGAACCAGCGCGCCTGTTATACACTTTGCATGATATCGGGTTGCTTTAACCCCTGATAAGCATGCTTCAGGGACTTAAATCCTTATTTGAGGAAAACAGTCTAGAATCCTTGCTATAGTTCTTGTTTTTGCCCATAATGTCATTAAAGGGATGTGTTTTTTTAATGTTTAAATATTTGTGTGGGAACAATGGCCATAGTAGGGGTTCAGTGAGAAAAATAGTAGTTACTTGATGCACCTAATTATTTACACAAGCTTCACAATTTGGTTTGCCAAGTGATCAAATTTTAGTGGCCACCTCTTTGTTCCACCTGGCAATAGGTTGTTGGCAGACTCTTAAATGATAAATGTGCAACACAAATCAGTGTGTCTTTGACTGCTTCTAATTGTATGCCCACTACTGAGACAACCTCACTCTTTTCCTGCTTGCCTTTCATGAATAGCTCATGTCTTCAAAAATCGCCAAATATCTTGGTGTTGCATGACATTTACAATTCAACTATTATATAAAGTTTTCTGAATAATCAACTCTGACAATGGCCTGATTTGTTCTTGTTAGTTGTTGTTGTGAGCAAAATTTTTATTGCTTTCTCTTCTGCTCTTTGTTTCCTCTGTTCCCCTTTTGTAGGAAAACCCTTACATGTGTAACAATGAATGTGACGCCACCACTGAAGAGCTCGCCCACCCCCCAGGGCTGATGTTCGACACTGAGGGCCGCAACCCCACAACCTTCTGGCAGTCCACCTCCTGGAAGAAGTACCCAAAACCCCTACTGGTCAACATCACTCTATCTTGGAACAAAACCATTGAGCTGACTGAAGACATTGTCCTCACCTTTGAGTCAGGCCGACCCGAACAGATGGTCTTAGAAAAATCACTAGATTATGGACGAACCTGGCAGCCCTACCAGTTCTACGCCACTGATTGCTTGGACGCCTTCACCATGGAGCCCAAGACGGTGCAAGACCTAACTCAGCATACCCTACTGGACATTATCTGCACCGAGGACTACTCACGAGGGTACGTGTGGAAGAACGACAAAACTGTACGCTTTGAGATCAAGGACCGATTTGCACTGTTTGCTGGACCCCGGCTCCACAACATGGCCTCACTTTACGGCCAGCTAGACACGACCAAGAAGCTGAGGGACTTCTTTACCATTACTGATCTGAGAATCCGCCTGCTCCGGCCTGCCACAGGAGCAACGATGGTGGATGAGAACAACCTGTCCAGATACTTCTATGCCATTTCTGACATCAAAGTTCAGGGCAGGTAAGACATAAAATAATCTGTACAAATACTGTTTGATGGACTCAAGGCTGGATTACCAAAAACGAAAAGGGGGTTACAACCCATGAGCCTCAGACTGCAAGGGACTTTAAAAAAGCTAGGTCCAGTGTTTGTCTTAACTTTGATAAGTGAGTCAGTTCAAATTTTCATATAAATTGGCAGTGAATCAGTTATCGGCCAACAGGGGCGTAACAAAAAAGGTGCCCATATAGGTTAATCTAACAATGAGTTGACTCATTCTTTGTAAGGATCCTTTTAGAATCGACTGTTTCATTTTTTTCTATATTTTCTATATTCATTATTACAACTACAGTGCAGCTGCCAAGAAGTGAAGAAAATGTGTTGACTGTTGTCCATTCTTTCCAATTAGGCAGTGGATCTATAATGTTGTGCAGAGTTCACCAGTTGTCAGCATGTCTTAATTAACCAAGCAGCTTACAGTTTGCTGAAGCACTCTACTTTAGACAAGAATTCACTCAGTTGTCTTTTAGCCCACGGAGCACATCAGATGTAACATTTCAGCCATCAGGTCACTGTACGCTGTAATTAGTGTTTGATTTACAAAGTCTCTGGAGGGTCATATAACATCAAAACAAGACTCCGCTGTAGTGTTAGCGCAAAGGTTAACGAAAGCTTCCCCCGCTTCGTGACGCTATACTACAAGAGTCAGTGAGGCGTCGACTTAAGTGGATCTGTTTTACACCGTGTAGTTTTTCAATTTAACAGACGTGAATGCGGTAGTGTGGGTGGAGGAATGAAGATTTAATTACTCATGTTTTGCTCTTCACATGTGAGAGACTCAGCTGTACAGAAGCACAGTGTGCAGAACGTCACAACAATTCGAGGAAATATGTGGAAGTGTTGAAGTCGGGCTGGCACACAGCAGTGCGTGTGTTGCAGCTTTTCTCAGCCTCAAGACAGACTTGGAAAGAGGACTAGAAATATAAACATCAGCAGTGTCCTGTTCAGTCTCATCAAATAATTGTTTGAGCCAGTGTAGTTGTTGGGGAAAAGTAAATCAAAAGTTCTGAATGTGAGCATCAACACTTGATAGGAATTTAGAAATGGCGTCATTCTCATCATACTCGTGGCATTGCATGTTTGTGTGGCTCTGATAGTATTCACGTTATATTGCCAAATGCCTTATGATTCTCTAATTTGTTGATTTGCTTAATATGCTATTGAAATTGCCTACAAATATACTATGGATCGCTCTAATGCACAGTAAATGGGCAGGTACCCTTCAGCACAAAGGCTATGATAATGAATGCTTCTCTCAGAAATTGAATTTTTGACTTTTCTCGTGATTGAGAAGGTCATTCAGCAAAAATAACTGGAGGGAATTTACTAACACAAAAGAGTTGGACGTGGCATCCATTTAACACACGGTGAAATGAAGAGGGCTGTCATAAGAGCAGATTATTTATTCTATCTGACTAATCATGACCGAACTCATACATCGCTATGGGGCTGTATATTTGAGCAATGGCATTGCGGCACCGTCGGGCCGTGGTCGTTTACCAGCCTGCTGCTTTTAGAGTGACGCTCGACTAAGAAATATTCCCCACTGTTTACCAAAGGTAACACACAGTTCAGCCATAATGAGATACACTCTACACAGAGA